CGGTCCCCACTACCGCCTGTACAAACTACAAAAATAAACCTTTGCTCTCTTTGATATAAATAACTTAGATGACGTGTTGGGGGGCTGCCCACCGTGCCCACGCCTGGCACGGGGACGTCCCCAAGGCCACCCCTGCTCAGCGGCAGTGTCTGGGGGCTGGGGCTGCAGGCACGGCAAACACCGCTGGAGTTAAAGTGCTGGGTAACGGCGTGGACGGTGCCCGGGATGGGGACAGGGAGAGGGACAGGGGCTGGCTGCAGGGACAGCCCCGTTGCACGGGGACGCGGTGAGAAATAAGCTTTCCCAGCAAGACGTGCCTATTGGCACCGTGGGCGCCCACGTCAGCGTGCACTGTCCTGTGCGTGCTCCAGCACGCGCCATCACCTGGGCAGAGCACAAGTGTGGCATGAGAGGCTGTGATCGTGGGACAGCTCAGGGGCTCAGCACAGCAAGGACCACTCCAAGGATCCCCCCCTTCCAAAACCCTGCCTGCGCAGTGGGAAGCAACAAGCTCCCTTTCCCACCGTGGCACATCCCCAATCTCCAGCCCTCCCATGCTTGCTGGTGGGGAAACTGAGGCATGGAGTGGCACATTGGAGGGGTGACCTGCCCATGGAGTGGAGGCATGAACCAAATCTGTGCCCCCGGGTTCCTGCTGCCTCTGGTGGGCAGTCCTGCACTGGCAAATGGTCTTCCCGCTCCCTGCCTGCACCCTGGGCAGCCGGGCGAGGCCGTAGGCTGAGAAATAAATCTTTTAAAATAAGCTTAAAAATATATATCTCTCTATAGATAGTTTCCCTTTGCAATAAATAAAGGACGGGGGTTGCCCGCCCCAGACCTTGCCCATGGCACCCCAGGGCACAACTGGCTCTGGAGCTGCCCCCTTATCCGGACAGGGGGCATCAGGGCACCCTGTTGGGGCACCCCAGCTCATGGCCCGGGTTGGGGGGTCCCAGGAGGAGGTGATGGGGAGCAGGCAGTGACCCCATAGAGGGGGAGCTGGCATGGCACTGAGTCCACCTTGCCAGCAGCTCCAGAAACAGAGGGGGGAGTTAGTGCTTCCATTTCTGGGGGGACAACAAGCCCAGGGCAGGGTAACCCTAAACCCTGGGTGATGGGACACGGCACCAACAGCACAGCCTCGGGTGGGGGATATGCGGGCATGGCGTGGCCTGCACACGGCTTGCATAGAAGTGCCAGCCTGCCCTACCAAGCCCCATTGCAGGGTGTGGGGGCCAGTCCTCCTCGGCCGAGACTGGGGGGCATCGCCGCTCTGGCGATTAGCAGCACGATGCGGGCAACCCCGCTCTGCACTCTCCTGTGCCCACTGGGTGCTGGGGAGATGCTCTTCCCAGGAGCCAGCAACCTGCAGGGAGAGAGAGATTTGGGGAATCAGCTGGGTCCCTCCACACCCACCTTGCACCCCAATGCTGCTGTGCGTCAGCCCCAGGGTAGGGTGTCCCAAGCTCACCTAGCGCCGGACACCTGCCCCGCAGCGTCCCATGCTCTGCATCTCAAAGGCATCAGGCACAGCAGTGCCGCTGGTGCTGGGCACACTGGACTCCTCCAGGCAGTCCTGCTCAGCGCTGGCAAAGCCCTCAGAGCCGAAGTTGGGGTAGGAGCCAGGCAGTGTAGGGTGCAGGGCCACTGTCACTGAAGCGGTGGCCGTGACGGTGGTGTAGCTGCGCGCAGGACCCTGCAGGTGGGTGCTGTAGGTGGGCAGGGCTGTGGGGGGTGCTGGCCGAGTGCCTGGTGGGCAGGGCTGCAGGTGGTCTCGGGGCTGCGTGGGGCACGGCTCTCCAAAGGGCAGTGGGGCTGTGGGCTGCAGGCCAGAAGCCTCCTTCTTCCCCTGAACCTCCAGGTTGTCCTTGTAGGGCTTCAGCACCTGGAGTGGGACATGAAGTATGAGGGTCCCTAGTCATACTGAGCATCCCTCTGGCAACACCACCAGCACCACAGGGGACCCATGAGCTCACGTCCCCCAGCTCTATCCATGACCCTCTCCCAGTGGATGCTGGGAGCTGGCAGGGACACTCACAGTGATGTGGGGGAAGCTGGGGTCTTTGCCAGCCTCCAGCAGGATGTGTGCTGGGGTGGGGGGCACAATGAAGGGTCCTCGGGGGCTGCCAGGCCCCACATTCTCCGTGTAGCGTTCTGTGTCCGAGGAGTCGGGGAAGGTGGCAGGCCAGGCTGGAGTGCACCGGACGTACACCCCACCAGGGCCCAGGCATGGGGGCACCGACTCCGGATGGGGTAGGCCAGGGCCATTATCCACCAAGGATGCCTGAGGAGAGACGACAGCGTCAAGAGGGGCCAGGGACATACAGGGATGGAGGAGTGTGGGGAAGCAGGGGCTATGGGGTGATGTGAGGATGGGGATGCGAGAGATCTGGATGAAGCAGGGATGGCATCAAATGGGTCAGGGAGGGATGGGGGAAGTTGAGTGTGGAGTGAGGCACGAATGGGGTCACACACATACAGGGCAAATTGGGTATGAGAGAGAAAGGATGGGATAAAGCAGGGATGGTACAGGGTGAGGGTGATCTGAGGTGGCTACGAGACAAGTTTGGGACTGGACAAGGAAAAGATGGGTATAGGGTGAAGTGGGAACAGGATGAGGGGCAATGGGGGATAGAGAGAGGTGAGTACGGCGTTGGGGAGGGCCAGGGAGAGGTGGGATAGGGGTCTTGTACCTCAGGGGGTGGCCCAATGACAGAGAGCAGGACTGGCAGCAGCACCAGCCCATTGAGCAGCCCCAGCAGCGTCAGGATGGTCAGCACCGCAAAGAAGTACCTGGGGGACACACAGGCAGACAGGGTAAGCAGGCACAGCCATCATGAATCATGTCCCATCCCAAACATGGCTTCCCACACCACACACTACGGCCCCACTATGTCTCCCCAGCCTCCACGCAAGAAGGAATGGGCGTTCCCAGCAAGACATGTCTGCACCAGCTGCCTCACACCCTCACCGCCAGCCAGGGGGGCTGCCACGCTCACCAGTCCCCACTGTCAAAGCTCTTGGAGGGCAGCAAGTGGCTGGTCTACCCTCCTTCAGTGCTCACCTCATGATGAAGTCAAACTCAGAGCCAGCCAGCATGAGGACGCCCAGGAGAGTGGAGACAGCACCATCCATCACGGGGGCAAAGGTGTGCTCCAGTGCTGCGGCCGAGCGCACGTTCCTGCTCCCCGCAGCCGTCAGGAAGCCCTGAGTGGGATGGGGATATCATGTGGGGCTTGTCCCAATGTACCACCCATGATAAGCCACCCATTGGCACATGGCCAAGGGGGTGAGGGTGCCAGGGAGTGGGAACTGAGGTGTGATTGTACTCACCAGGGCCACATGGACAGTGAACTCCACACCGATGCCCACTGAGGCAATGAGGATGACCACGGGGATGGCACTCAGCTTGATGCCCATCAGTCCCATGATGCCAAACAGTTCTACAGCCATCATGGCCAGGATGGAGACCTGGGGGGTGTTGGGGTCAGCGAGGTGTGGCTCTGACTGACTGTCCTCTCTGTCTGGCAATCCCAATCGTACTCCACTATACAGGGCAGACTCAACCTCACTGATCCTTTTCCCTCTGTTTGGCATGTTCCTCTGTCTCATCTATTCGGAGTGGCCCTCACCTGCTCTGCATGGATGTCTTCAAACCCCTGTCCACTGCATTCCCTTCATAGGGAGTGTCCCTGATCCCTCCATATCCATCCCCTACTCACTGCCACCTCAATGTGAGTGCTCCCCTCAGCCTCTTCTGCGTGGATGTCCCTAGACTCCTGTCCCCTTCAATATTTCCTCCATACAGGAGTCCCCCACCTACTGCCACCTCTGTACAGGTGTCCCTTCCCTCCAGGGTACCCCTGGTCACCCCATCACCCAATCCTCATGAAGCAGATACCAGGGCCATCCAGCAGGATGGGAGAAAGGCTGGATGTCCCTGTCCCCACCTATCCCGATTGTCTGCATGCATCAGGGTGCGTACTCACGATGATGCCAGCTGTCCAGGGGTTAAGCAGCAGCAGGGCACAGACAAGGAAGGTGCAGGCCAGCAGGATGCTAATGGCCAGCAGGAACCAGTGCCTCAGGCCGATGTACTGCTCCCAGAAGAGGAAAGGGTAGCCGCTGGGGTAGCTCAGCACCCCATGGCGCTGGGCAGCCTCCCGGCAGATGGCCCGCACACTCTCAATTGCCTCCACAAAGTCAGATGTGCGACGCAGCCCACTCAGATAGAAAGGGAACTGGGCGAACTCCAGTGGCTGTGCTGCTGGGACTGGGGAGGAGAGCATGGGCAGTATGGGGATACAGGCAGCACAAGAACACCAGTCACACAAGCCTGAGCAGCCTAATGCCTGGCTGGGTATAACGGGTCTGGGGAGTGTGTGGAGAGCAGACTGGGGACAAGGAGGAAGGGGTTTCTCTCCCCACAGCATGCTTGTGGGGTGGTGGATCACATGTAACAGAAGGGGAACTTAGTGGCTTCTTTGAGTAAGATGCCCATGGGCTGGAGCAGGGGTGTGCTGCTGTGTGCTAAGGGCACAGGGAGTGCACAGTGGGGTGCTCAGCATATGGGGTGCAGGGGGACATGGGGAAGCAAGGCAGTTTATCAGACGGGGTGAGGGATTGGTGGGGGTTTCCCTTCAGGGCAAAAGGTGTGGGGAGCAGGGTACTCTGCAGGAGGATGTCGAGGGCAGTAGGGGGCCATGGGGAACCCCACCACGCTTACTTCGCAGGTTCTCGCCCGTGGTGTCATATTTGTCATGGATCCACTCGGGTGGTGGAGGGTAGAAATTGGCCTGGGAGGCAGCAAAGCCCAGAGGATCGTTGCTGGCCCATACCGTCAGGCAGATGTAGAAGGTGTCAGGAGGGATGATGCCATTCTCATCCACCAGTCGCCGTGTGGTCAGCTATGAGAGACCAGGAGTGGGCATGAGCTGGGCAGCAGGTGCAGAGTGATCACCAGCCCACTCACCCCAGCCCTGTATCCACGCACCTGATTGAAGTTGAAGGGCTCCTTCTTGTTGCCGGTCTGGATTAGGAGCTTGTATGCCAGTGCCCCGTCCTCAGAGCCATTGCGATAGCTGTCATGGGTGATGCGCCCAGCCTGCCAGTCCCTGTCGAAAGTGGCCTGGAGCCCTGGGGACATAGTGCAGGGGGTGAGCATCCCTGGGGGCACACTATCCTGCACACCACCCCATGTTACCCCAGGGAGCATGGAGCCAGCAAGATGGGCACACAGGAAGTCCAGAGCTCAGCTTCCACTGATGGGCACCTTCGGACCAGCCTCTCCAGGGTGCTGCGCACCAGGGAAGGCACTCCCAGGCCAGTGAAGAGCATGCAGGCTGGGGAGAAGGTCATTGGGCAGGGGAGGTCATGGAGAAGAGGGATGTCCCTCACCTCGCAGCCAGTCCTGGAAGTAATGGAGCCACATCTTGGGCAGGTCATGGTTGCCCTCCCGCACCACGTACTTGACGGTGCTGAAGGCCTGGTGTAGGCTGAGCAGGGCAGCTTGGGCACCCGGGTAATGGAAGCCACCCTTGGTGACGATGAACATGTTGTAGAAGGAGAAGTACTTGAACTGGGCTGAGATGAAGGCGTGAGCCTTGGTGTCTCGTGGCACAATGTCCGTCAGGTAGAGCCCATCGTGCACCATAGTGGTGCCATAGAGGCTCAGCCCCCGCAGGGCCAGGAACAGCAGCCCCACCACTACTGCCTGCAGAGACAATGAGGAGGTCAGGCAGGGTTCTGTGCCACCCACCCACTTTAGGTGGCACTGCTGGGGCCACCCCCACCTCACCTTGGTCCGGGTCCGCAGGAGGAGAGGGGCGTACTTCTCACGGGCAAAATCAGCGAGGCTCCAGCGGCAGAAGGGCAGGGGGACGCACTCCCTCCCACTCTTCGCTTCATCCAGCTGGGCCAGCAGATCCCGGGTGGAGCTGGCTGGAGCGAATATCTGCGAGCCCAGGGGGTCGGTGTGGGGTAGGAGGACAGCGGGTGAGGTGCACACTTGGGAGGTGGGTGGCAGGACAGTAACGATATGGTGGCCTGAGGGGTCACACCGGGTGAAGGCTTGCACGGTGGTGGTGATCTGTGTGCTGGTGGCCACGCCGGGGTGCCCATAAGGGGATGGGTGGCAGGCATGGTTGTCGTTGGCATCAGCAAGCTCTTGGGGCTGGATCTGGATGACCCGCGAGGAGCAAGGACTGTGGGGAAAGAGGAAAGGAGGAGAGAGTGAAGGATGAGATGTTGAGTCACCCCCTGCTTCTTGGGGGAACTGTGGGGTCAGCCCCATCCCAGCCAGCCTGGCGCTAGTACCTATAGAAGCAGCAGAGGATGTCGAGCCGGCGTTTCTCCCGGCGATGCAGGTCCAGGCTCAGGATAGCAGGGAAAACAAACAGCACCATGGCGAAGTTGAACACCACAACCACTGCAGCCTACAGATAGTGGGGGGCACACATCAGACTGGGCTCTGGCCATCCTTTCCTGTCCCCCAGAGAGGGACCATAGCACTACCTGGAGGGAGAAGGCACGCAGGGCAGGGATGGGGACCAGGGCTGCCATGAAGAAGGCAATCATGTTGCTGACGGAGGTGAGAGCCACGCTGGTCCCTGTGCGCTTCAGACACTCGCCTGTCCGCTCCTGTGGGGACAGAGACGGTGATGAGAGGGGCTATCAGAAGGCAAGAGGGGGCTGAGGAGCCCCTGGGCAGCACTCGTTGCTCACCTTGAAGGGGATGTGCTGGCTGGTCTCGGTGAAGGCATGAGCCAAGAGGAACATATCATCCACACCGATGCCGAGCGCAAGGAAGGGCAGGACCTGCCAGAGAGCAGTTGGCATCAACAGAGAGACACACACACAGCCACCACCAAGGAGGGGACACGGCCACCTCACAGCCCCCAGGGTCCCACCCACCCCGCACTACCTTTGTCTTTCCCCAGCACATACCTGGGTGGTGGCTGCATTGAAGGAGATGCCCAGCAGTGAGCAAAGCCCCAGGCCAGAGGCGACGGAAAGAGCCACAAGCAGGACCCCAGCCAGGCCCACGGCCCCTTGGGACTTGGAGCAGTCCCACCGCAGCATGGTGACGCAGGCATAGGCCAACTGGAAGAATACAGTGGGTTAGAAGGGACAGAGGGATGAGAGAGGGGCAGCAGAGGACAGAGAGAAGGGGCACACGCACCATGAGGAGGTAGCCCCCAGCCACCCGGATGGCACTGACGTCAGAGAAGGACTTCATGATGTCGTTGAGTGTCGTGGTGGAAAAAGCATGGACACTCTGCGTGGCATTGGGAGGGATGGAGTCCTGCGCCAGCTGCCAGAGGTACACCTCGTTAGAGAAATCAGGACCCTCCTGCTCTACAGTACATCCACCCCAGAGCCACCCAGGGTGTCAGTGTCACCACTGAGGAGCCCTAGGGATCCACAGGACCACAAGAGCGTAATGCCAGGACCCATAGCCACATGAAAACCTGGGCACAAGGGGATGCCACGTAAAGGCTTACTCCTGCCCAGCCCCATGTGGGGGCTGCTCCCACTACCTACCTCCACGAATTTCCTCTGCCAGGCCTCCAGGATGGCTCCTGCCTTCTCCTCGCTCCAGCTGATGTCATGGATCTCGTAGTCATCCTTGAAGTGCTCGTAGAGCTGCCGGGGGCTCATGAGGAGGAACATGGTCTGCAGGGCCTCGGCGCTGGGGGACAGGCACGCACCTTGCTGGGACCGGCTGCAGTGCCCCAGGATGCAGGAATGGGTCCATCCCCCACCCCACGGCTCCCAGCCCTACTGCAGACATCCAGGAGAGGACCCAGGCATCCTGCCCTGTCCCCCCCCACCCCCCTTGCTTTAAAGCTCTGCCCTGCTCACTAGCCCCATACACTTGCCAGGCCCTAGACAGGCCTGCAG